CAGCTAAGTACTGAACCAACAGGCCTTTCCAGAAGGACTCCAGGGTAGGAAGCCCCCTGGGGCAATTCTACTGTTCTGTAGGGTCACTATCGGGATCAACTTGTTGGCACAAATCATCATCATGGGGTGAAGATACATTTTCAAAATAATCAAGTATATAAAATCTCACTGCAAATCATTATTACTAAATGAACATTAGCAACTGATTTGGATATGCTACTTTGAACCCTAAATAAGCAAGTCATTCCCCATCCCAAAGTAGAATCTATTTTTCTGTTTTCTGTATTACAAAAAATAAATTATACTCAATTATCATATTTTGAATTTAATCAACAGAATTTTGTGGAGATTTGTGTTCCCTCTTATTGTATCAGTCCCTACATAATTTCCTCTATTTTGCCTTCAAAGTGTAAACTGTTGACTATTAGAAACTTTATAGGAAACCTTTTTCAAACCCTCATCCAGAGAGCAGGGAAACCTCATGAAAAGTAGCACTGAAGGGCTGCTTGCTAGGGAATGCTTTGGTTAAGTAGAACTTTGGCTAAGTCTCCTGACTTGGAAACAAAGCCTTACCTATATGTAACATACTTCATCAAAGAATACCATTAATACTGCATGCATGTAAAATTTTGTAGACAGTAACTAAAAACAGGTCCAACAGTACACAGATGAGGAACTGCCAGATATTGAAGTTGGATTCAGAAAAGGAAATGGAACAAGGGCTATCATTGCTAATGACAGATGGAGCTCTGCTGAAAGCACAGAATACCAGAAAGATATTTGTTTTATTAACTATGCAAAGGCATTTGATCATGTGGATCATAACAAACTATTGACATTAAAGAGCAATGGCAATCATAGAATATTTAATCATGTTTGTGAGGAACCTGCACATACACCAAGAGGCACTTGTTCAAATACAATATGGGACACTGCATGGCTGAAAATCAAGAAGGGTGTAAGTCAGGATTGCATCTTTCCACCCTATCTATTGAATCTGTATGCTGAGCAAATAATCAGAGAAGCTGGACTCTATGAAGAAGAAAGCACCAGGATTGAACAAGACTCATTAACAACCTGTAATATGCAGATGATATAACCAGCATATTGTACCCAATAAAACCAACCTTGAATATGCAGATGATACAACCAGCATATTGTACCCAATAAAACCAACCT